CTGAATTCGTATTTTGTGTCTCTTGAGATGAAGGAGAGGAACATAAAGGTGTGTGTGGGAGAGGACAAAGAAGGAGAGTGGGCTTCTGTGTATCAGAGTGCTATGAAAATAGTTCAGTCAGTGGGGCCGTGGTGACCTCGCAGCATATGGATTTGTCACATTTGTTTTACATTTACACCTGGACACTGGATCAAGGATTAATGAAAATATCATATTTACTATTTTAAAACAGAGCCTGTTGCTAATTGTCCCTTCTCATGACGCAATTTTACCTCTCTCTGCATGGGACAGAGTTCTCCGATCTTTGAGTTTCCACCTGAGACTTACCACAACACTGTCAGTGGGAAGGGCGAGGTCACACTGCAGAAAAGGAGATTGCAGTTTCTAGAGCTTAATCTCATGTGCAAACAGTCTAACCATGAACGTAACCATGGCAACAACAAAAAAAAGGATGGCAGTGGTGAAAGCCTAATCTCACTGAGGGGGAGAATAAACAAACACAGGATACAAATGCAGAGCAGCTGTGGGTCTACCAGCAAAACAGACTCAGAGTCTGTCAAAGGAACAGCCACTTGTCATGGGCTCCGTAAGGGTGTGAAATGTTAAAGATCACTGGGGAGACCACCCTTCCTGTTTGTTGGTGTTTCTTGCTGCCCACCTCACCCTGTTCATGCTGACTATGCTGCCAGCACAGCCTCCTCCAGCACCACCTTCCTCAGGGGGCTGCTGAACTGCAAAAACAAGTCCCTCAGCCACCTAATGCCTGGATGGTAAATGAGGTCCTTTGTGTCAGGCATGTGCCAGCAGCGACCTGCCTAGGGTAAAAAACAAGGACCCTTTCTTACCATCAAACAGATGCTCACTGCCCTCCTTCAGCAGGCAGCTCACGTTGAGGGGGATGAAGAGCTGAGCCCGAAGTGGGTCTCCGTACAAGTAACTGGGCAAAGCAAACGGGCCTTCCAAGACTGGGACGAGCAGGAACCCGCAGGAGGTGGCTTTCCGGTGCCAACCCTGAACCTGAGAAAAAATTCAAACAGTGAATCATACGACATATGTCATCTGACGAGGGGCACTTCTGTGCATGAGAGCAGCTCGTTCCCCAGGAATAGATCAGACATGCTCAGCTCTCCCCAGGCTCAGCTCGCTCCGCATGGCAAGCACACCAACGTCCTTGCAAGCGAAGCAGTGCAAGCACAAGGCACCAGGCTTTCCTTTTTCTGAAGTGCCACATCAATCAGAAAGCACTTTAAAACAGGACATTTTTCAGGAACTGATTCAGCCTACTTATCACCAGTGGCTAAACACTGCTGCTTTACTGGAACAGTGCAATTGATTTTAAATAAAAGCAAAACCAATTACCTAGTGCTGTCTGGCTGGGTGGGGTAAAACCTGGTGTTAAATAATTTGAGTTTTACAGAAGCTACAAAAGGGGAAAAAATGTCTGAAAATTAAAAAGTGAAACAAGCCACTTATATTTTCAGTTCAAAATGTTTTCAGCAAGTTAAAAACAAGCTAAAAAACATTGCTGAACAGGAAGAACACATTGCTTGGAAAAGCCTTGTTATGAAAGCAATTCCAGCGAGATTTAAAGTTTTAAGGTTTGGGGATAGAAGGAATGCAATGTGAAACAGATTCTTTTCCAAAGACCCAGATCAGGGCTTAAAATTTGCCTAAGGGGGACTTAAATTTATCACCTTGACCTGTGCTGATCTCTGCACACTGTGCATGAAACCCACTAACAGCAGAGCACTGCCCTGCAGACAGAAGGACTGTAGACAGTGTGATAAACACTGACCAGATGCAGCAATGCCTACAACCACCAGGAAAATTACTTATGGAAATAAGGGCAGATCCAGCCCACTGGCTCTCTCCTAACACTTCCCACGACAATGCCCCCAGTTGTTTAAGGCCAGCCGGGCGTTTCTGTGGCCATCCAGAGCACAAGGACTCTCACCATCTCAAAGAGCACAGCTGCAGTCACTGCCATCCAGTGCAGCTTGATTTCAAAGGCAGCATTCAGGGAGAAATTGCCGTGGTAATAACAACTGCACCACTCCAGCCGGTCCGTGCGGTTGTTCACATCCACGTCCAGCGTCACCGTCCGCTGCTCGGGCACCGTGGCAGCTACACAGCCAAGGAATGGGGTGCATTCGAAGGATGCATTAGACACAGGGTGGGAGGCAGGACAAAGAGCAGAAGAACCAAGATGAGCTATTTGTAATGAATTTGTCCTCCCATTCTTCCCCAGATATTTTTGGGCTGGCAGAATAGTCCCAGAATGCCGCTCATCCAGATCACCAAGGACAAAACACCTGAAGTATTTCTCGTACCAGGGGTAGGTGCTACAGAATCACTTCCCCAAGCAGGCAAAAGACATTTCAGCTGCAATAAAGAGAACCAAGAGTCCAGCAGCTAATTATGGCACCAGTTGCCTGTTGATTAAGTGTGGCTAGACAACATCTATGGCTTTTTCATACCTGTAACATTCCAAATATTTCTATATGCCCCCACCAGCAATCTCAACAGGGTGCTGTTACACAGGGCAGGAGCATTCCAGGACTTTCCACAGCTAAAGGAGATTAGAAGTTAAACTTCTTATTTCTTTAACCCCATATCAATATCCCACATTACCACAGTGCTAAAATTGCACATCCAACACTTCTTGTAAAAGCAGGAAAAGTCAGCCAAGACATGCAGCAGCCTTCCCATCACTGCAATACCTCCTAGTGCTCTGCAGCAAGGGCTGGGATAGTGCCCAAGATCCGGCTCCCTTTGTGTCCTACACCCCAGCATCCCAGTGAAGGAAAATCTCAGGTGTCAGCCGAGAGAGGAGGAGAAGCACAGCAAGTGGAAGTGACCTGGCTGGTGTCACACAGCAAGGCCAGGGACAGAACCCAGATCTCCTGACTCAGAGACCAAAGTCCTGCCATGAAATATGTTGTCACTTTCAACTTTTCTTTACAGAAATACATAATTTAACATTTCTATAGTGTTAAAAATAGACACAAAACAATGGGCTGCAAGGCCGCTACTGAAAAATGTTTGCCCTTTTTATTATTGCATGCACGGGGGATGGATGTTGTTATTTCTTGCTTAAGTAGAAGATGTGCACCCTTTTATGGGGTCAGCTTTTAAAATTATCTTATAAATTAATGGCTTTACGGTGTTTAAAAAAAAAAATTGAAGTTCTTCCTCAAGGTAGATGGAAAGTTCCCACCTTCACTTCTACTCCAAGTTAGCTGGAGACAGTTTTCAAGTTTATAAGGAAATCCTTTACACTGCTATTACTCCAGCTTAAACAGGAAAAAAAAAAGAAAACCACAATAAAAATGAAAGAAGATAATCCAGTTTTGTTTTATAAACAAGAGCCATTTCTATGTTCGGGAAATGTATCATCTGCAATTTCTGAGCTGGTCTGGTATTGTCAGACAGACCAACACCTTGAGTTTCTTTCTCTGGCTCCTTTTCAGTGGGATATCCCTGTGAGTGCAATGCTCGTGGTCAGAAGGTTATGGTGCCAATTTTGTAACAAAGTGTGTTGGAAAACATCATCCTGAAAGCTGCGAAGCCAAAGCAGCTCAGCCAGGTAGGTGCTGGTCATTAGCCAAGGGGTCAGTGCCACCACCACAGCCCAGTGTGCCACACCAGCACGCCGTGAAGAATGAGCTCCCTGCTCCCTTAGACTGTTCCTTTTGCCAGACAGTGCAGACTCCCTGTTAGGGCTGGAGCTTCTCTCCACCTGGTCTGCAGCTGGAATTCACAGGCAAAGCAAAAGGAACACAGTCCAACCAGGTGAGCTAATCCAAAATACATTAAACACTGATGAGAAATATCCATGTGTCTGAATTCAGAAGCTTCAGATTAGAACCAACGTATTGTGAGAGAATAAACTCTGGCTTCCATAGATCAGATTTTAAGAGGACTCACCTGCTTCCCAATTGTCTTGTGCTATTGAATATTTAACTAATGGTTTACTAAGCAAATCGGGGAGGAGCAGGCAGGTTATTCTCCAGTCACAGACTCCGCTACACACATGACTACAATTGCTAGTGCATGCACTGCTACAAATCAAAAGGGACAAGATTAGGTGTATCACAGGTCAGACTTCCACTGGGAAGGGAAAGGGGGTAGTCACTGGGCCAGCGATTTGGGAATTGGGAGGGATAAAGATTTGAGAGATACACGGAGCTTGTTCCAGAGCTCCCAATGCTTGCATGCAATTTTATGTCACAGCCTGACATTTAGGGAAGGTGGGGAGGGGAAGAATTAAAAACCACAACCAAATCAAGACCAAGAGAGGAACAAATGAAGTCACGTGGACCAGGGGTCATCTGGGTTTAGTAAAGCTCCTTGCCTCAGATGAACTGGTGAAGTCTGGGTATTTTGAATACTGTTTAGAAGAGGGACAGCATAGAAATGTCATTTAAGCCAGTTCCTTTTTAAGAAAAAACTTCCACAGTAGATTTTTCTACAAGAAACTATAATTCCTGGAATAACCAGACTGCATGTGAGCAATCTGAAGACACTTATCATTCATTCCAGGACTGCAAATTGGTTCAATAGCAGAATGGACATAATTCCATCTGCAGAGAAAAAGGAGCTACACAGCTGTGCAATAGGTGACATGCTGCAGGAATACACTCTTACCCTGGCTAGTGTCAAAGGAAAGGTAGGAGGGTACTGAGGCACTTTCTTGCTCTGTTCCTTTGCTGAGTCTCAGCCTTCTCACCTCAAAAAGAGGACAGGCATAGGACAGTGAAGGGATTTTCTTGGCTAAATAGCGAGTAAGAGATCAAACCACGAACAGGATCTGGCCCAAGTGCCTCCAGCCTCCACAATATTTCATGCCAGCCTACATTCAGGCTTCAGCTCTGGCCACAGAGCTAATGAGGTTGGATACCAGCCAAAGCAACAGATTTATCGTGTGACAGGGAAAATATCCTGCATATGTTGGCTTCAGGGAATTAACCATTAGTTCAGACTTCCTTTCCTTAATGCTTTCCCATTTCTGATGCTGTTCCTCTTCAAACAAGGCTTTCAGAAATACAATGATTACTGTGACTTCAGGTTTAAGAGATACTACACCAGCAGGAAGGCACTTCTCTTCAGAAGGTCAAATACACACAACAGGAGAACAGCAAAATTTTCTTTTTATCCTTAATTGCTAGGCCTTTAACAGATGCATCTAAATAAACCTGAAGTTGCAGTTCTATAGCAATGATTTTTCTCTTCATTTTAAACAGGGAAAGAGGAACAAAAGCAAGTGACTCAGGCTGGCCTGGAAATGCAACAAAAAGCTGACAAAGCAACACGGTCAGTCATGCAGCCAGTGTGTTTCACGGGCTGGTAGAGGCAGTCAGTGTTCTTCTCCACACATTATAGGACATTAGATACTAATAATGGTATCTTGCCCAGCAGCAAGATCTTCCTACTGCTTCCACACCACAGGGATCATTTGTAGCTGGGCTTCACAGACTTAATATAAGGAGTCTGGCTCTGGTTCAGATTAGCTAAGAAAGCCTCCAGCACATCACAGGAAACTTCTAACACATCTGGATCTCACTGTGGTTTTTGCCACTAGGAAGCAATTAGACATGTAATTTTAAGAACAGTTTGGCTGCTCTGCTGTTCTCACAACTTATCCCTCCATGCTCATTGCAGGTTGTGAAGAGTCTCCCTGTTTCTGCAGGGAGACAAAGTATTTTCCTTTCTAAATTCTAGAGGTTTAGAAGCATGAAATATTTTAAGAAATAGTTTTTATTGTACCCCAGTCCTCCACAGTAAAAGTTGCCTGCTCAGCCAGCGAAACACACCTCCAGCACATGAGAAAAGTCCACGTTCAAGACACATGTAAGGCCAGCATGAAATTTGCAGCTTTACTGCTGGTCCACGTGAGATCATCCCCTTGGCTGGCTGCTCTTCCCCTTGCAAACTATCCCCCTGCACTTCCCCAGCTGTCACCTGTGCTGTGCATCTACCTAAGAGTGCAGCTGCCTGGCTCCGTCCTCCGAAACTGCGGCTAAAGGAACTGTGCCTACTTGCATAGGAGGCGGGGCGGCTGGGCAGCCAGGGCAGGAAGAACGCCGGGATCTCCGAGTGCAGGAGCTCTTCTGCCACAAAGGCCACCTCAAACCACTTCCTCTGGAAGGCGGAGAAGTCGTCCATGGCAGCGGTGTGCCACATGGCAGGCTGCTGCATCCCCACTGCACAGGGCAAGGACAGCTGCAGTTAGACCAACAGCAAGGGAGAGAGGGAGTTCTTGATGGAAAAGAGGCAGGAGAAAAAATTACTTTATGTTTTCTGCCTTTTTTTTGGTTTGTTTTTTTTTTTTTTTAAACCAAACAGGCTGAGTTTCTTAGACTCCCCTTAGATCAGTGGTTTTGGTTGCTCCCGAAACGCATTCCTGCTGCAGCACCCATAAGAATCAAGTAAATCCTAGAGATTATGCAAAGGGACAGTGAGGAAAGTCTTGTAATAACACAATGCTGACCTCGGTCTGGTTCCTTGTCCACAACAATCTTGTAAAAATAAAAGCCATAAATAAAGGTTCGTAAAGCTTCTCCAGATGCATGGACAATCAGCTGCTCTTCCAGCATTTTCTGAACAAAAGGAGAGAGAACCGAGCAAATGTGATGAAAAAGTCACTCTTCCAGTCACAGAAAGAGGTTGCTAGAGAACATTAGGAAATAATTTTCTTTCTCTTGACATCTTTTTGTCCAGCTATGTGCCTAAAGAGAATACCAGCAAAGTTAGCTCTTGGTATTCAGTAAATGTAACAGCAATTCCTTATCTCCATGAGAAATTGTGTCTGACCTTTCCACAGATGTCTGCCTTCCTCTCTTACCCTGCTCTGGTTTTACAGATGGATTTGTAGGAAGGTAGGAGGTTGGAAACATTCTAAGTTCTCTGTTAATTGAAATGGGATCTCAGCAGAGGACTGAACTCCAAAACATTTCCAATCTTCTGCCCCTGACACAGTTCAATACAGAAAAATCCCTTGATGAACACAAAGAAATGTTCCTGCATAAAGTGTGTCTTCTTCAGCATCCATAACAGAGAGGTCATGTGCTGGTTTTTGTAAAAGTTCATTAACTAATGATCAGAAGGAAAACCAAAATCAAATCATGCTGTAGTGCCTCACAATTCCAACACAATGCAGAGTTCTGGATAAATACAAGCTAATTGGAGGTTATACACAGAACTGTCATCCCATAGAAGTGGAAAAAGATACTATGTATTACTACTGAAGGACATGTTGCTGTTTTGTGATAGGGCAGCCAAAAAATGCCATCATCACCTCATTCTGTTGAACAGTTTTCAATACCTATCAGTATAAGGATTTTAATAAACAACAGAAATTATTGCTATGCTTTCTTCTGCAATTCTACTTTCTTCACAGAGTGAGGTATTTCTGGCCCTCCACATGCCCCTGGATAGTTCCCTTACCTGCATTATGTCAATGGCCATGGCCTGGGTCTGCACACCCTCCACATTATTGACCAGCCAGTGCACAACTTCTGCACTGATGAAGCAGTACGGGGAGAGGCCCTTCTGTTCCGAGAGCAGCTGGATCCCTGTGCTGAATCACAGCATGTCACACGTGTTAACACACAGTGATTGAGAGTTCTTTTAAGTAACAAAGACAAAAATCACTGCTGGGGGAAAAAAAAAGGGTGGGTGGGGGATAAAATACAGGACAAGAAATGCACAAGGCCCACACAGTGACTTATCTTTGGCTTCTGGTAACAAGAGGAAGAGCTGACATTGACTTACTGAGAATTCCTGCTTTGACAAGATTCTGGGATTCTAATAATTGAAGTCTCTGCATCAATACTTGTACCTCAATTGCTATAAAATTCCTCATTAGGGAAACTGGAACTGAATAATAAAAGGAAGTTTAAAACTCTTCCCTGGCTGACATGGGGTTCTCCCCTTGGAGTGACTCCGTGCTTCATGTCCTCTGACAAAACATCTCAGCAGATGTAAAGCATATTTATACTAAAAACTTACGTGGGGTGTTTCATGGCTTCAAGAATCTCCACCAAAGTGGAGGAGGAAGTCAGAGCACTCGTGGAACACTGCTGAGAGCTGTAAACAGAAGCACGTTCAAAAATCAGGGAAGCTCCCAGATTTGTTCAAATATGTATGTTTAAGAGAAATGCTCTCTTTTCTCAACAATGACTGTCACATTTATCTCCTTTTTCATATCAAGAAGGACAGCTAAAAGCATCAGACCTTTATTTTCCCCCTGAGGCCACCAGGACATTGTTATAAGGACCCAAGGCAAACTGTACCACATGCAGTTGTAGTCAGGAGCAACTGAGAGCAAACATTTGGAAGCTGGCTTTTTTCTTTTTTACTGTAATATACAACCACAGGAAACAGGTGCTAATAAAGTTTATTTTCAATATTGCTTCCTCCTCAGTGTCTCACTTCCAGGTCAGAACCTCTTGGATTTCATCAACCTGCTCGATCCAATTAGACCTGCAGGGCCCCCCTTTGCCAAACAGACAGAAGATGTCAATTCAGAGCCTGATTTTCTGCTAACAGATTTCAGAAATGGAATTTCTTCATTTCTTGAAGAATGAAGCTCTTCTTGTGGGTGGGGAAATCAGGCCTTGTGTTCATTTAATTCTGGAAAACTGGGTTGCAAGGCTTATTTTACTACCACTCTCTCTGCACGTGGAAATGCTGCAGTAAGGTCTTGTGACAAGTGCCTCTACCACTGACAGACAGCACAGCTTGTTCTCAGGTGCCTGTTTAAGGGCCCATTCCTTGACACCACAAAGGGGCTGTAACTGAACAGCTCTGCAGTCCAGCACTGCTGGGATTTTCCTACCTGCCCTCTGCAGCTCCAGCTGTGCTGTATCCTGGCTCTGCAGCATTCTGGGCACTTCCCAAGGTCTGGGTGCTGCCCCTGTCAGGCACCTGCCCCGTGGTTATCAGCATGTTGCCATCTGAGGCTGCAGGAACTGACTGATCTATAGAGACCTGGGAGGAGTAAACACAGCAACATCTTCATGAAATTCATGATGTAATGCATTTCCCCCCTCCCCACATCATCTGTACCTCAGCTCAAGTTAGTTAACAACGGGCAATACTATAAGGAAGCACAAGCATATGCAGAAAGGATAAATACAGTCTTATTTTTGTCATCACTGCAGAGCTCCTGACAAACAAGAAATTCAAACCCCAATAAAGATGAGGATCACCAGCCCAGCAACGACTGTGTTGAGAGAACCACTGTCAAACCAACACCACCAGTCCCAACCTGACATTTTCAACTGTGAATAACTGTGATTATAAACACACAATGGACAGAACAGGGCACTTAATCACTATGGGTAAGTAGTAAGCATTTAGCAAAAATAGTTTCGACTCTAACTCTCAAAAATATGCAGATGTATCACACAGAATTCATGTTTCATAATGCACAAAAAAATCAGCTCCTCTTCTCTCCTTTCTCAGGGCAGTGTGAGCAGGCTGGTTGGCACCCACCCACACCTCTGTCGCCAAGACAACAGGAACACTTTCCTCCCGCAGGAACACTCACACCATTCCAATGGTAGACTGAATAGTTCACAAAATTAACATAAAATCGTTTCAGAGAGAACATGAATGCTGAAGGACTCAGCAAAGTACAGGCTGTAATTGCCATCTGTCATTAACACGGCTGGTTCAGGAAAGGCACATTATATAAAAGCTCGAGAGGTGGGGGAGAGAACACGAACAGCAGAGTAACTCCAAGTCAGGCTGGTGTAAATATGAGGGCTGCTCTGCTGTGATGAATCCACAGCACACACACAGCTCAAAATCACAAAGCTGGGAGTTTGACTTAGGTCTGTCAGCCAAGAGTCCTTTATTTATGCCATTTCTCACATCCCAAAGATCTCTAACTCCGCAATGGCAGATGTTTTTTTCGGGCAGCCAAAATCAGCAGATGTTCCATCCAATGTGGACCCCACAGTGCCCACAGCCAGCTAAAGCCACTCTCCCTCCTCAGAGCCACTTGAACCAGCAGCATTTTCTATGGACACGCTGTATTATTCTAATCCCTAACTGGTGTTAAGTGTACAAACGAGTTCTGTCACAATGACTCTTTGAAGCCGAGATCACATCAATATTTTCAGCCCTCAGTTGTTTAAGAATCCAAGAGCACAATTTGCCTTGGATCTCCCCAGAGCCACCAGTCAAACAAACACCACAGAAGAAATTTAGCCAAGAACTAGATGAGGGAGCTGTTGCCATTTTGTTCCATGAGGGAACATAGAAAACAAGCACTTACTGAAAAACAAAAACAGAAGCTTTAGTAGTTGCCATGACAGTACTGCAAAGGACAGTGAGACAGGGCACAGGAACATCCAAAGCACAGCACAAACACTGAATGGTGGAAGGAAATAGTTGCATCTGCCACTTTGTCCTGCTAATGCTGCACGTGTCCCTCTCAACGAGCAGATCTGCAAAGTAACACAGGTTCCCCACATGGCAAGCTCAGGACACAAATGCTCTCCATCACCTCAGTCCAAAGCCAGAGATGACATGAACCCATTCAAAACTAACCTGGGAGTAGAAGGTTGAAGCTGTTCGTGGGCTGCGAACAAAATCCATAAAGAAGGCCCCATCCTGAAGGCATCAGAGGAAGTAGGCCCATTAATGGCAACAGCAACAAGGAGTTGAAGAAAAGCAAATACAAAGTTGTGCAAGTATGAAATGACCACAGAGAGAAAGTATGAGGAGAATGCAAACCCCAGACCCAGAATGTCAGATGCAGCAGAATGCAGAGCATCAGGAGTTCTGACACACATACCATTACTTTCTCTCTCTGTAACAAGATGTTGCTCTCCCTTAGCACAGATGCTTTTCCAAAATTTTGGAAAAGCACATTGATTGGAAGCCAATTGAATCTACAGCCTTCCCTCCTTACTTCACAGGAGAAAGACTTGAGCTCTGAAGTATGTGGGTTTCCACCCCAAATGCAAAGCTGAATAGTGATACAGAAACCTGTACAACTACAGGTGTAATGACAGGGACAGGTGATTTTTTTTTTCAGTCTGTTAGTCATTCCAATGATAAAGAGGGAGAGGCAAAGAAGCTCTTTTCAGGAAGCACACTCTTCCTTGTAAACGCAGGTCTGGTATGGTGCAAAGGAAAGGGAAGAAAAACTCATCACAAAGATCCTTCCAACACTGTGTTTAATACCTTATGCAAAATTAAACAGATGCTGCCTGTGCTATGTTCCCACCTACTTGCAACCCTTGGGTGAATTTATTCCCAGCTGCTATTCCAAGATGTGTCAAGATTCTCTTATCACATAAGACAATGCAGTGAAACCCAACTAGATTTTCATTCCTTATTTGCAATTCTTTATTCTGTTCCCTAGGCAAAATATTTCTGTCTAGTCTGCAGTTAAGATGCTGCTTACCTTGGTACGTACATATAAAACATTTTCTGGAAAGAATCAATACCAGGGTTACATGGCTGGCAATTTACACAGTACCAAGCACCCTGGATCCACAAGGGCAAAGACTTCCCAAACAGATCAGGCATCAAGAGAACTCACTGTGTTAAAATCATACTGTGTTGCCCAGTAACTGGCTGAAGTGACTTGCCAATTCTACTCTGGAACAGAGTAAAGGTGGAGCCAGTGGCTCAGTTTTGGTCTGGAATAAGTCCAGCACTGAATAGCATCCTAGAAAAGCACTTGCTCCCTTGGCTGCTGGCAAAGCACAGCTGTGACCATTTGTCAGTACTTTGGCTCTAAGTCTGCAGACAGCCTAGAGACCTCCTAAAGGGCTGGGGCACCAGGCACACACTTGCTGATGTTCCCATGTGAGCAGAGAATTCCCTGACATGGCTACCTGTCCGCTGGCACCTTTCCAACAGGCATGAGCCATCAATTTGGAGATCCCAATTGCTTATCTCCCAGTCCCTACATGTAAATATTTACAGGAGTGTTTACTACTGTGGTGTGAAAGGCCCTCAATTGATATACACTCTTCCAGAGTCTCCAGTCAGCCTTCTAGAGAGGCTTTGGAATATAGTTACTTTTAACATCACTCAAGATGGCATTTGCTGGTAGCACAGAGTCTGTTAATTTGTTCCCAACACACCACTGTGCCATTGCTATGGAAGCCAATTTTGCCTTTTTCCCCTCAGAGCAGACACAACATTCTTCCCTCCTGTGTCCTAGGTGGAATTTTCACCAGTTTTACTGACAGAAAGAGACAATTAAGATTTCTGTTTACAAAGAAGGAGGTTGATTTTTCAAAATGGTAAAAGAGGAGAGTGCAAAGCCTGAACTATGATCTGGAAGTTTGCAAAAATGCCTCAGGTCAGGTTCTGCACCTACTTTTTCAGGTCTAGTACAACCTGCTCCAGACTCATCTGTGTTCTCAAAGCACTCTAATTCTACAAATAGGTGTCTCTTACAAACACGATCACTGCTACTCCATCACTTCAACTATCAATATCCAGATCTCCAGAATAACACAAGGCTTGTCCCTGCTGGTAGCAGAAAACTGTGGATGTTGAAACATTAAACACTAAAAGAAAAATACTGAAAGAGGTGGTTGATAGTGGTTAATCTGAGAACCTTTTCTCTGCAATATTTCCACTTTTGAACCCAAATACAGATTACACTTAGGTCCTGCATCTTTATTAAGCTCCTTGGTACTTCCGTTGAAAGACCTGCATGCCAGAACACAGAAAAAACCCCAAATATTTCTGGTTGGACTTGGAGGCAGAGTTCCTGCTCTCCTGGCACTCACAGGACACTTGAGAAGAAAGGCTGAGGGGTAGCACAGTCTTTTCTTAAAGTGTCTGAAGAAAGCTCCAGGAAGACAATTTTCCCCAGCCTGGAGTCCAGCCAGTGAAGGAATGACATCTGAATCACTTCTAAGGAACACATCCTCTCCTCTGAGCAGAGGCAAGAGACTCAAGTTTCTGCTGTTAAAATTCCACTCAAATTTCACACAGTCACGGCCTAGAGCTTGATTTTGCTCTCCAAGACACACACAGATGCAGACAGGACTGTACTGCTCAATCTAACAGTCCAACCCAACTGAAATGAAATGTGCTACTGGAAAAGAAAAGGGACTAATTAGCAAATAGCCCTTAAATCAGCAAAACACATTGAGATAACATCCCAGGGATTCCATATCACTGTCACAGTTACAGAACTGAAGGAAGGTTGTGCCCCAGCTGCTTCTTATGCCCTTGCACAGAAAGGCCAGTACAGGACCAGCCCTTGCTGGATTAGAGGGTAAGATGTGGTATGATGTAGCCATGTGCTTAGAAAATTAAATCTTTGATTATTTGAGAAATTATGTAAAAATGGTAGCTAAAGAAAGACCAGAAAGTCTTTACCTTACGAGGGCTGTCCATATAGGTGGGTGTGATGGCAATGCTCCCACTCTCCGAGGGCTGCCCAGAGCTCTTCCCAGAAAGCATTGCTGCTTGCTGCTCCCCCAGAGTCCTCAAACAGAAGGAAGGAATCCAGAGTTTATTCAAACACACTCTGTGTCAGCTTCCACCTGAGGGCAACTGCTGCAGAGGGGCACTGCTGTATTTTCAGACATTTGCCTTCCCACACTGAGGCACAGAGTCAATCCAACATCCCATAAGTACCTTTTACCCCACATAACAACACAGACCCCTGAACTCACTCAGTTTTGTTATGCATGTGCAACGCTAACTTAGCACTACAAATATTAAATCTCTTGTGTATTTAACATAACATGAGGCAGAGTTCCCCAACTCTGCTTTAGTCAGCCCAGGTGGAATATGTAGGAAGGATGTTCTAGTGCTCTTCACACAGCCTGTAGAGACTCACTTCTGACTGGCTTCCATCTGCAGCAGAGCTGAGAGTGCTGAGGTTCCTTTCTTCCCAATGGGAGGTCCAGACTGCTCCAGAGAGTGGGTGGGAATTGGACCAGCAATCTGCAAGCCTTTCATGGCAGATCCTTTCTAACAAAGAAAAAAATGGAAGCACAGACTTAGTCAAGCTACGCTTAACTAGTAAGCAAGAACACAACCTCATGTCAGCAAGGCTTTATTAAGTACACATTTAGTATTGTGAACTGGAAGAAAATTTGATACACACTAACCAGTTTCTCATCATCCTCTTGAAACCACTGTTCACCAGGAATTCACCCATATGGTTCTGTTTTCCCAATCCTTTTCCTAAGTCTGCAGCACAGAGCCAAGCCAGTCAGAAGTTCCCAGCTACACTACCTCAGAGATCCCTTTTGGCCAGTTATCTGCATCCCAAGGTGCAATAACATTCTCAGGCTGACCATCCTGCAGCACAAAGCACGGCGCCTTTGCAATGAGGTGGCATCAGACTCGTGGTAAGAGAAGACCCACAAAGATAAAAATAGAGCAGCAAGAGGCCAAGGCCTGGATGGCTCTGCTGTGCAGTTCTCTGAGTGAGAGCTGTTCTGAGTCTGGTTCCAGCATGGGATACCCATGCCAGGTAAATATAACTAGTTCAAGAACGGAAAGGTGTTAACAAGCACAAACTATCTAAAACCAGACACAGCACAGCCCTCAGCTCTGCCCCGTGTGTATGGATCACCCATGGACACAGGCCACGGACCCCCAGCTTGCCTGGGGTCGGCTCAGGTCTCTGCCAACGCTCCACGAGGTGACTCAGACCCGGCTGCAGTCTCTGACCCCAGCACGCGCTGACTCACCCGGATCATCCTGTCGGATCGATGGCGGCGCCGGATGCGGTTCAGCCCCTCCACGAAGCGGATGAATCCGTCCAGGAGCTGCCACTCCTCCTCGTCGGAGCGGGGCCTGTCCCCGTACACGTCGCAGTGCGTCTCGCCCTCCACGATGCGCTTCGTGGCGCTGATGCAGGCGGGCAGCAGCAGGAACCGCGTCCTCCAGAACTTCAGGGACTCGATCAGGCTGAAGAAATATGGAATTCAGGACACTTCAGCGGTTTTCCAGGAAGGATCTCACACAATCTAAAACACACATGTACCTGCTGGGCATTCCAGAGAGCACAGTGACTGGGTCACTCTGCTGCCCCTGAGTCAGAACAAGCAGGTGGGCAAAGGAAGGCTCAGCACTACAAACGTCAGTGGGAGCTATTAAAACACTGATATGCAGAAAACAAGGCCATTGTACCATAGACATATATTTTCTTTCCTGTAAAAGAGAGGATGCAAAGGCTTTCTCTCTAAAAGTAAGCAAGTAAAAAGGAATTTCAAAGGTGCACATTAGCGTAGGAGGCATTTTGACTGAGACCTGAAAAGATGACAAAGACTGGTTTTGTCATCAAAAAGGCTATTGATGCTAGTGGAGATATTTCACATTTCTAATAAGCACTGTGCTCTGTAGCTTAGGAGTAGGACTGCAGTCAAGCCTAGTACTCAAGCAAACCTCCAACAGCTTCAAAATACGTGGAAGCTTTTGAGTCAGATCCAGAAATGAGTAAGAAGCCAAGAAAAGCATCTGTGTGGTACAAAATGCCATCATATTTCTTTGCATTTGGAAGAAAAAAAAAATTCATGCTGAATTTTGTGATCAAGACTCGGTCTCAAAGATCAGATAATGCACCAGCAACAGAGTGAGGTTCCTACAAGGCAACAGCTGCTACCACCAGACAGTGAAAGCAGGCCAGATTTTCTCCCTGGAGTACTGAGCATTTGTGGGTCGAACTTGCTGATGAAATTTTAGGTCAGAAAGGAAAAGAGGCAATTAGGACACAGAATAGTCTGGATGGAGAAGGAGATCTCACCTGAAATCCTCTGAGCCAGCAGAGCAGATATACTGATCCAAGTAATTCCACTTGTACTCTTCTAGTCTCTCATGGGAAAATTCTACCCAGCAAGAGACAAATTCAGAGTCAGAGTGTGAGGGGCACAAGCTGTAGGTGTAGTTTATCTGAGCAGATTCGTATGGATACCTAAAAGATCAAACACAAACGTTAATCTCAGTGTTATCAATACAAGTGCTGCTCTTTCTTCTCCTAAAGAGAAAGAAGGTTCTACAGTATATTCTTTCAAGCAAGCACAGACAGCTGGAAAAGAATGTTCATCTGAACATTGGCAGCAAACTGCTCAAGCAGAGAGATACTCACTTGGGTAGGTACCGAGTCACAGTGATGATTTTGTCTTTCAAGGTGACTTTGTGGAAAGTACGGCCCATACTCAGCCAGTACTGATCTTCCTCCTCAGCTCGATTTCTTGATACAAGACCTAGTTGTGAAAGGCAAACCCCTTTCAGCTTTTTGCACTAGTCAGATTTTAACAACAAATTGTACCTATAGACTCCAGAATTGGAGTCCAGAATTGGGCTTCTGAACTCAGGACAAACTCAAATCCATCTTTCGGGCCACATTTTTAGGAAATACTTGTACAATGAGTCTTTTGTTCTTACAGTTCAGGTTTGTTGGTATCATGACCAAAGAGGAGCATTCGGGATTCACGTGCCTCCCACATGGAACCCTCTAGTCAGACCCACCAGGGAACAGCCCCAGTGAAGTGTTGAGCACCTGATGTGATGGGAAAGCTGGGATCCACTTTCACTTCCTCCCTGTGCCTTATTCCTGGAACTAACCTCTTAAGCTTGACACATAAGGTAAGGAGCCTTGCTGCTCATTCCCAAAACAGAGATTAACAATGTATCCCAATTATGTGTATTCCCTGCTCTAAGAACACTGTGTCATGCTGACTTACCTAGAGAGTATCCAGGGGAAAAAAAAAAATCAGAAGTCAAACAACAAGTCAGATTCTCTCCAAGGAATATGATACTCCCTTAACCCCCCCCAGTCCTCTGGGGTTTAACTCAGTTTAGCTGACTCATGGTTTCAGGACAATGAAGCTTTGCCTTGGACCTCCATAGCTATTCTAATGTTAGAAAACTGCCTCCAGATACACACATGTGGAAGCTTTAGGTCTGTCTTCTTCCAGAGATGTGCTCTGCAGTCACCATGTGATTTGTGTTTAGGAGTTATTCACCCAAAGAGCACTGAAGCCATTGTTCTTTGGGTTCACCATCATGAATATGAGACCAGTTTCTTAATAAAGCTAAAAAATCCTGCACCTGTCCCTTCCCGGTGCAGCCTTTGTGCTGCCCCAGACAAGGCTCTCTCCCTGCAAAGACTTCCATGTAACATCAAGGAATGACAACAAAAAACCAAAACAGAGGGCTTCACTGAGCACCTGTGCCTAATTCAAGGTAACTGGGACTGGCAGCAGGAAAGACAAAAGAGGGAATTGTCAGTCGTGGGTCACTCACCTCGGCTGTAGAGGGGACTGCTGCTCAGGGGGGGTGGCACGGCTGGGGCCGGTTTCTGTGGCTTGGGTTGCACAATAATTTGATAGCCTTGCATGAGGCGCTGACAAATAAACTCCTCAAACACCTGCTGGGCTGTCATCTGCACTCCTTCCTCATCCCTCCTGGACACAAAGGGCAAGCAGACCACAATAAGGAAGCTGACACACACCTACTCTTAGCTCTTCGCTTCCCAGCTGAGGGTTTGTGCCCGTGTAGGGCCCTGGGCAGTGCCTGGGAACACCTGCCTGTGGGAGCAGGAGGGAAAACGGGCACCTTTGGAAATCAGCTGTGTGATTCCCCAGAGGTGAGTTTTCCAGCACTTTGCAGACAGTCTCAGGGCAGTTTTTGTCCATGTTCAGCAGAGCTCAGAACTGCCAGTGGGCAGCAATGCTCCAGCCTCTTCCACAGTGGGAAGCGAGAGCAGAGAGGGATTAAAGACACATCACTGTGGCATCTTATTACAACTCCTTCTGCTCTGAACTTCACCTTCCCGCTGCAAAGGGACATTTGACATTCCTTTTAGGTGTTTCTTCATTAGTCCTGCTACTCGTTATGTATTATTTCAATCACTCTGACTAGTATTTTTGTTTTGTGCCCATAAAGCAGCAACATGAACAGGTCTTTTGATGCCTTACAAGCTGTGGAAAGTCTGAAAAATGCTGAAGACGATGAGAAAGCTTCAGTAAAAAAAACAAACCAACTCTATTAAAGAATAGTTACCACAAACCTCTGAGACAAGCTGAGAAGTTCTATTTATCCTACCAGCACTGTTTTCCAGCAAGATTCCTTAAACTAAATATCCTTGAGAGTGAGGATAAGCATCTTAAACACTGCGTGTCCACGTACATTTGCTCATTTAGTGTTTCCAAAACACTTGCTGGAAAATACATTAACAAAGATGACAGCTTGAGGTTGGGTATTTTGATTGAATACAACAACAGAAAAGAGATGCAAAAATTTGTGCACTAATTCTAACATAAAATCTACAGGACACCATACTGTGGGATGGTAACATTTGAAAAGGTGCAACGTTATCATGGGAAAAAGACAAATCTAAGTATTCTGCTGCTCTGTTAGGAATTCATCCTTCACTTGCAGGGGTTCCAGTGATCCTCTTCCATCACCTGCTCCTTAAGCACTTGGATTCAAGGCATTTACAGAGAAGGTGCTGGCCAAACCTGTCAATGTCAGCCTCTGGGAGCAGGTCATAGCAACCCTCCGTGTAATCGTTCTGCAGGCTCTGGCGGTCCGGGAAGTAATCCGTGGTGAGGGGGAGACAGGCCGGAGTAGTGAGGGATTTCCAGTCCACTCCAACTGTACAACAGAAGCCTGGCACTACGGGGGGAGCAGACAGCGTCAGAACTGCCTCGTTGTGTCATGGGGGGCACACAATGGGGGCGTGGGGGGGCACCCAGGAAAAAACAGGGTGCAGAGGAAGATGAAAGGAGTGTGTGAAGAGGAACGTTAGAGCGAATGAGGGACAAAAAACAGGGTTGGCGTAAGGTCAACAGGGACAAAAAGGGGGTGGAATGGGAAGGGAAAAGGAAAATAGGACGGGAAGAAGGGAGGGAGAGAAAGAGACAGAGTTTGTTAAACAATGCAGTGCACATGCTGCTCAATCCCATCATGCAAATGGCATTCACAGTTAATACACTTAATTGTCTCTTGATTGAAAGCTAGAGCTGACACAGCCACTGCCCTTCCAAATTACAGCAAGTCAGGTGCAGTTACTGATTATTAAAAAACAGATCAACATTCTAAGTCTGAACAAGAAAATCAGACCAGCTTTGCATCCTAGACAACTGCAGAAGGAGCTGGAGAGGAGGAGAGAAAGAATGACAGACCAGCCACTTTCTGGAATAGTATAATAGCAGAAAAGGGAGCATTTCTACAGTTATAAAAACAGAAGACAGATCCAGAGGGGTGGGAAGACCAGAAAAATAGCAACTTGGAAAGGAATCCTTTCCCACACCCTTTCCTAGAGCTATGCTGCAGTTTTGAGATTACAGAGATCTAAAATGAGACATTTAACTAAATTATACCAAATCATCAGCTCACCACTGCACTGCATTCTGACCTGACTCAAACAATCTGTATCAAGGCCTCATGTCAAATACTGATTCTTAACTTTTTGTCACAGAGATCCTACAGACAGAGATTTATTTTACTGTAGAAGTGTTAACACTAATGGCAGGAACACTGCACAAGAGACTAATACAGGACAGACTGCTGTGAAGAAAATGTTTCTCAGGCAGTCACACACTTGTTTCTGTGTGAGGTAAAAGCAGATATTTCTCAGTAAACAGTACCAAATGCAGAAAGTGACTGAACTACTTCTGCTTCAGTGAACTGGTGCCAAACAAACTTTTCATACTGAGAGGCAGAGATGAGTTCAGCACCTTTTTGCATAATAGTCTGGTAAGGAAAGAATTTCAGATGTAATGCAACAACCAGCTTCACAAGAGCTACAGAACTGCAATCCCAGTGAGACCCAGTACAGGGAGATCCTGCAAATTACTGCAGGGCAAAATAAACCACTGCCAAAAGCCAAGGAGGCTCCTCAGTTTCTTGCCTGCCACCTCCTGATGCCTCTATATATGAACATGCCCTTTCTCTCCCCATCTTCCCACCTAAGCAAACTCTCTTCCAAACCTCCCTCTTGCTTACTTGGATCTGGAGAGTTAGAGACAGCATCTTCCAAGGAATCCTTGTTCTGAGTTTTGAGGTTTGTCCCTACAAGAAAGAAATACATGTTCTATTTTGAGCAATTATCCACTTGCCTTGAATTTCAAATAAAAATAAATCAAAAGCATGCTGGTGTTTTAAGATACAGCATTTCTCTGCTTGGGAAGAACTCAGGGTTCTGTACAGCAGAGAAAACCACAAAGTCAATTAATGAGGAAAAAATATATCTTGGATCAAAATTTGGACATCTCACTAGAAGTGCTCAGTAGCTAAAAAACAAGCAAAAACCACCTCCAGAAAATAGTAAAACACATCTTGAAAAGTAGATGTCAAAAAAAAGCAAATAACAACAAAAAAAGAAGTCACCTGAAATCATTTAGCTTCATAATCTCAAAGGTATGAGGAACAAAGTACTTTCAAATATAATCAGTATCCAAAGCCAGATTTTTTTTAATTGGTTTTCACATTTTATGAACAAGTTAAGAAGAATTTCAGAAAACACAGGGGAAGCAAGAAAAGAAAATATAACAGACTTTCACTGGGGGAGAAGAGAACCCATATATAAGGTTCTAATTATCTAAGACTCTAAAGAGTCTGAGTAATTTATGAAAACCATAATACAGATTTACTCCAATTCTACATTTTTAGGCATAAACTACCAGTACATATTTCATCCCTCTACCAGAGGGCAGGGAAGAAACAAAACAATTGATTTTCAATCAGCAAATACAAACTATCCTTGCCAGGCTAAAGATTTTAGAAGTATTAATTAGGTCTTCAGTGCCCCTAAATAGGTTCAATATATTTATTACAGACTGTTTAAAAATACCATGTTCTGAAAAGGCAGCAACTTCCATTATGTTTCAGCCTGTAAGATACACCTTGGTCCATACTTCAGTAAGAAAGAATAGTAAGGAAGTTGTTATTTATTGGGAAAGGAGATAAAGTGATAGAAATGCACAGTTTTTGAAGAAAATTCAGCTTATACTGACATAAATAAAGACTAATAAGGGACCTAATAAAAGTGAAAACTTAAGTTTTGATTGGGACTTAAGACACTATGATTGCTCCCATTCTCAAATGACTTTGTTCTAAGCAGCCTGTTAACCTGGAAAACAGAGACTAAAACTGCAGCTCAGTGAAACTAAGCCAGCAGGATGCTGTGGCCCCCCCTTGACCAGTTGTTCCTAGTCCCCATGTCACATCTGTCTGCTGTATTTGCATCCATGCTTGTGTGTTTACAGTGCAATAATCCACACAGCAAAGACAAACCCACTTGGAGCAGTTCCCTGAGCTGGTACAAACAGCTGCTGTGGCACAGGAGAGAAAATGAGCAACTAAGGAGACAAGAAAAATTGCTGCCTTCAAACCATTTACCAAAACACAAATTTCAGGAAGCCCCCAAACATTTCAGAGGAGCGGTTTTTTAAAACTAGCTTGTGTGGATTTACCCAGGAGATTGGTATCAGCACCAGAGCTGTTACCCTCTCACAGAAAGGGTGGTCATCTGCTTCCATGGTGATGCCAGGGAAACAGTGGAGGAGCTGTTCTAAGTGCCATTCACCTCTCACCAGCTCCTGATGCCACCTGCCATCCACTTCGGGAACTGCAACAAGATTATTCGCTATCACCTCCCATCTGCGGGACAATAGAGACAAACCGCCAGGGAAGTACATGGGGTCGTTTTTCACTCTGAAGCCCGTGATGCAGCAAAACGTGCTGCAGCAGCAGAGGAGAACCATAAATCATATTTTTGGAAATTAAAAAAAAAAACCCAACCCCAAAACCCCACCCCCCCCCGGCTGTTTCATTTCACAGGTGACTCAAACCTTAAGGGAGAAAGCCAAGTCCCCAAGTTCAATCAGCAAGGCCCAGAGTGGCCCCTACAGATGGCTGGGGGCAGTTAGGGCAGGTGCTCAGAAAGGCTTCCACAGGGACACAGATTAACTTCTGCCACATCCCTGATTTATAGCCCATCTACAGACACAGGGACTGCTGTACAATGCAAGCACCTCCACCGCCAGGATATGCTCTGCATTTACGTTGTGCAAACTGCATCCAGCTGAAATGCAGTCTGGCAACTGCAAGAACAATCAAGGTCTGTCTGGAAGGCAGAAAACAAGACAAACAAAGCCAAAAAATTAAAGGTATGCAGATGAAATTCACAGAAGGAAACGACAGAAAATCACTTTTAATGTGACTACGTGAACACAAGACGTGACACCCAAGAAAATTGAGTGGTTTAACTTCTTTATAGCTCTGGAAGGTGTGAGCACAGGGGAAACAAAGTTGGTTTAATCCAATGTAACTCTGACGGGTAAATTAAAAAAAAAATATCTCTAAATTGGTTTTGAGAAAGGAACAGAAGTCTTGAATGCTCTGGTCCAAAAGATGGCATCTTTTTGATCGCATGTCCATGAAAGTAGAGGGTAGGCCACAAAAAAACCCCAGAGAACACAGCAGAATGTTTAGCATGGACTATTGTTCCACTTACAGGGTCCAAAAGAAAGGTTGAGAATTTCCACTAATTCAGGTGTGTGTGTAAGGTGAGAAAGAGACACTAATATTCAACTGAAAGTACAGACGTGTCTTCTCTCAGAAGTGTGTTGAAACATTTTGGGCTGTGTGAACAACATTTAGCATAAGCAGCACCATCTTCAAAATGCTTAAAATCTGGAGAAAGTGCATTTGTAGACACTGATAAGAAATGCTGGAAAACACTGAATCCCAGAACTTACCATGTAAAATAAACCTGCTTTTTTACAGTTTCTCTCAAAACCTAGATGTGACCAAACTTCATTCTTTCCATCAGCTTCCATATGTAATATATATAAATATATATATACACAAACAAGTTTCTTCCTCCAGAGGGGTGACAACTTAAGGCAATGCCACAAAGAAAAAAAAAGTTCTGAACAGCAGTGCATATTTAGTTATTTGTTGTGTCTGGACATCAGTGTTTTGTTACTGTGGAACTCAGTAACTGCCTGAGTTTATAATAGGTAAACAATGAGCATCTTTCTATAATAAAGGTTCTAAGACATACCTAGAGAAGTAGAGACACATAAACCAAAGCAAACCAAAAACAACAAACCAAAAAAAAACTACCACACACCAAGAAGCCCAAGTAAGAGCATCAACAGATCACTCAACTCCAAAAACTGTTTTTCCGTTATTGGCTCTTCCTCCTTGGCAACGCCTGTGCTCCCACCTGCCCTGACTCCTGCCCCTGGTACCCTGGCACTAACAGGGAAGGGCTTGTTCAGGGCTCTCCCAGCTCCAGGCTCTGCCCCTCACCTGCCCCGTTGCTCCCAGCCAGCCCGTTGGAGAACTCCTCTGTCCCGCTGAAGCTCAGGAAGGAGCCGCTGTCCCCTGGATGCCGAGAGCTGACGTGTCTGGAGGAAAACAAAACAGACCTTCCTCATTTGTGCCATTCCCTGCTTTTAACAAATACAACCACTACCAGGCCCCCAGCCCTGCTGCCTCAGCTGAGGCCATGGTGGATCCCAGCTCTTCTCCCAGAGTTAGCAGAGATGGCAGCACAGACAGGCTGTAACAACATCCCCCATCTGTCCAGGCTGGTTGTTCCCTGCCTCCAGCAACAGCCAAAGCACTGCCTGTGCAGGACAGCAAAGAACCAGCTACTTGTGTCCTCCCCAGAGAGAAATAAAGCTTAGCTGGTTATTTACAGATCTGATTTTGTGGTCCATAAACCCCACATTCCAGACTGAGCCAACTGCTTTGGATGAGCACCTCATCCACAGAGACGACAAAGATCCAGAAAAGGAATTGTCAGGAATATGACACAAGAGATTGGTGTAATGACAAGATGCTTTGGCACACTAGGATGTACATAGCAAGTCATAAAAACATTTGGGTTTTTTTTTAAAGTAAGAACTAAGGAACAAAATTGGTGAGGATGACAATTATGGAAATTTATGGAACACGGGGATTAGAGTATTGTAAAGGAAAACACAAAGTATAAGATAGGACAATGATTTTTCTATAAAATGAAAAACAAAAATCCAAACATGACAAAATAATTAGGCAGTGCAATCTCCTGAAGGACTGCTTGAAGACAGCAGGAAAAATACTCTGAAAATCAAAAAGGCAGAGGATACCAGCAGTGCCTTCATTCACCCTGGACATCCTGAAACAATATATAAGGTGAATTTCTATAAGCACACAAGAGGAAAGAAATGCACAGCAGGAAATATAATCATGAAAGAAATGAACTTACTGACAATTCTGAAGTTGCCTAAGCTACCAAAATGGTTTTGATAAGTAATATTTAACAATGAGTGAAAAACACAGAGAAAATGCTATCAGTAAAAGAATAATCAAATAAAAAACAGGTAAAACAATAACTGGAGACTGGAGAAAACTTGAAAAATGGCCTCGGTGAAGGGAACAATGCAATGTCTCTCACTGTAAAAATGCTTTCTCACTTCTCAGAGCCAACAAACAATATAAGCTCCCATCACTCACCAAAGCTTGTTTTTTAAAAGAAGAGTAGTTTACAAACATAAGTAGTTTGTTTGCCATGTTTTGAAGGGTGTTTCTCACCAGCATGGGGAGGACAGGACTGAATGGACAGCACTGAAATTGCTCAACAGTTACTGTGAGGCAAAGCTCTGTCCTGTGCTAAAAAATGTTCTATTCTGGGATGGAAGTCTCAGTTATTGGGATAATAAGACAAGAATTAAAGGCAAAGGCTTTTATAGGGCAATTTTGAACAATTCCATGAATGATGCACTATACTGATTATGTTCTGCAAGCTCTCTGTGATAAACTACAACCCTCCCCAAATTAGAGGAAGTAAATCAGCTCCAGCTTTGCCAAGAGAGCTTTGTATCAAAATTAAAAGTAGATCCTGCACATGTGGCACTGACACTATTAAACTTAGAGATCACAACTTATAACTGCCTTATTGTAACATATATAAAACTTCAAAGAAAGGGGATGTTCGTGCAAAGTCTACCCAGATTCACCCTCAGGACCTCACCTGCCCGTGGCCTCATGGTAAGCCAGCTCCAGGAGCTCAGCAGAGGAATGGGTCAGGTCCTGCTGCCCACTGCCCTGCATTTCTGCCATGTTCTGCCGGGTTTGGTGATGGATCTGGATGGCTTCTCCTGACGGACCTACAGTTACATTGGATCATTAATCACCACATCTGCACTGACTCCTCAGTTGCCTGAACTCTCCCTTTTGCCAACAGCACAGGCAATGATAACTAATGGACATTAGGAAAGCATGTTTACAAAATCTCCAAAGCACTGAACCTCTGGCATCTCTAGAGCCAGTGAAGTAAAATTTTCTTTTAAATACTTTGAAGGGCCTACTTTAGGCACTAAACAATTATGAGAACAATTCAGCATCTGAAAGTCAACCCAAACTGTAGCAACAATTCCCTTCAGGAGCTACTATAGGATTGTTCCCCAGTACTTGTTTGCCAACAGATGTAATATTTTCCAAGAGAGGACTGAGCAGGCCTATACACTCAGCTCAGCCTGTGGTACAGTGCAGAACCAGAGTGGTTTTCTCATTGTGTTAAAGCTCAGGCAAGGAAGCAGGAAAGCAGTGTGATGTTCTGTTCCCTTACCCACGGGAAAGGTGTGCATCCAGCGGCGCCGGTTCGACGTCAGCTTCATGGGCATGCGGGAGGGGGCGAAGGGGTTGATGAGGGCCCTCTGGGGGGTGTATCCCCCCGGCCGGATGTGCAGCATGGATTCGGCACTGCCCACGTGGAACCTCCCAGGGGCACTGGAGTCCCGCTGCTGAGACTCCAGCATGTTCTCAAGGACGTCTAGAAAACACAGCACCGGGTCAGCGGGAGATCGCGCAGGAGCCGAGCGAGGGAATGAACTGCTCAGGGATGGAAAGATCCCCCAGGGCAGGAGGAAATAAGGAGGGCTGAGGAGCAGGCAGGGAGAGATGCTGAAAGCAATTTCAGTCCAGCCTGAAAAGTACAACATAAACAAGAATCCAGACAAGAAAAAGCATTATTCCATCTGCCATTACAGCATTGCTGAGAACTGTGACACTAAATGAAGCCATGAAGAAACCACTTGTCAAGTCAATTGTGAAGAATTTTTCAGAGCTTAGAGAATTTCTGAGAAATAAAAACACCAGAAACCTCAGGATGAATACCAAGGACATGGCAGAAGCTACAGCTGAGCAACATGTGCCTTTTCTGTAATATTCAGATTTGAGCACTGAAATCAGGGATTACTCCCAGAAGACATGGGATGTGACCTCCACAAGATAAGTTCATTGTCACTATTGGATGTAGAATAGAAGTACAGTTATTTAGAAATAGGAGAGAGAAACATACTACATGACTAAGTAGCAATTACTCTGCCCAACAAGGGGAAATTCCAAAGAAGAGGAAGGGTCTCATTTACTATTCTGTACTGCCACGTGAAAAACCTCGATTTCTCTCATGCTTCTCTCCCCACCACTCTTATTCCACACACATCCCCATCCAGCTGAACACTTTCAGCTGGTCACCAGACTATCCTTCAAACTACAGGAGTAACAGAAATACCAAAAAAATTGTACTAAATGACAGTATGTGGAAACATGAAAGGCAGTTGTAATGCCAAGTACACTGTTGAGAGCAGTTCTACACCAGTAACTCTGATTCCTGTGACAGGATAAATATGGTATCAGTGTCATACAGCATGACATGAAAAAACAGAAAAAGCCTTCAGGGACAGAATTTGATAGAAGATGAAGCAATTGCAGGAGGAATACAATTTACCTAGAAATGAGTTGGGTTTGTGGAAGACACTGCATATTGTCTGAGAAAAAAAATTGGAAGGGAAGAAAAAGGAGAGTGCCAGCACTGCTAACACACAGAGACAGCTCAGCAGTGCATTGTCAAAAGGAAGGATCTAGAAAGTGAGTCTTAATGACAACAAATCCCCATGGAGAGATGTTATAAGCTGAGTCCCCCAGGGCTCACTGCTAAGGCCACTTCTCATTTGACAGATTATAGGTGACCTGGATAATAAAAGTTCCTTGTGTATGTCCACATTTGCAGGCAGACACAGGAGAATAGTCAAGTACTAAAGAAGGCCACAGACAAGGGAAAAGAGTAAATCAGTGTCAGGACACTTCTATTTAGGACGAGCCAATAAAAAAAGCAATGGAATTGGACAAGGATAGCAAAGGGAGAATGCACACCCAGGCACAGCTGGAGCTATGGAAAAGCTGTGCCACGAGTGCTAAAGAAGCACCGTCTCCCCTGTGCTGCCCTGGCAGTGCCTAACACAAACTTCCACCTTCCCTTCCCTCTCCCCACCAAAGGTACTTCCCCAAGTGCCCCGGGCTGACCTCTGGTGCTGGTGTAGCCCAGGGAGCTGCTGACTTCACACTGATGCAGGTGTGGCCGCGGGATCATGAGGATGTTGGAGATCTTGCCCAGGGAGCTGTCGTCAGAGGCCTGGCTCCGCACCTCCTCCGGGGGCAGCGTGCGGCTCTGCAGGGACGGGCTGCACGACACGTCGTAGGAACTCGAGCTCTTCCTGGTCCGACTTTCCCTCTCCCTCACAGACCTGGAAAGGGATAGGAAAGAGAGATTAATTCCTGGGTTAACAAGGGGCTTGAACAGGCCCAAGTCATGTAAAGGACTCCATACTCAGCAGGTGAACTCAAAGAGGACTACAAGGAAGGCATCACTGACTATTTTGACCATGTGGGCACTTTATACTTCTGTGCCTCAGACAGCAGAGGAACAGAACACTGAAATGTTCCCAGCATGGCTGTGAGAAGAGCACACTCGACTCCCTGTGTAATTCCACAGACACCACATTGAGCTGGTAGCACAGATGTGGCCTAGAAGATACTAGACCTGAGCCTACAGTGCCAGGAACAGGCAGCTATAGGGAAGCTACTTGGAATTATTGACTACATTAAATTGTACTGGCATCTTCCAGCATGGATTTCTACAGGCTGCTCATATTAACAAGCGAGTCCACATGCACAGTTTCTTCAGATTTGGACAATACTACTGAAAGAAGGAAAGAAAAAAATATACTTCAAAACAAGCTCATCAATCCCATATTCCTGAAAAAGCACTGAAATTTATAGTTTGTTCAAAGAATTTGGCCAGGACCTGAGAACAATCAGTCTTCCTCCTCAGACAAAAGGCCATGGAATAGTGGAGAACCTGCACTCAGCTTCCCTGTTTCTGCTCTCATCCAGGGTGTCCAGGACCCAGGCATCATTTTCAGGGAAGATTTTCCACCATTCTGTGTTCAGTCACTAAGTTACTAAGCAGTGAATCAAAGTAATTGCTTTTCTACAACTCTGTGCAAGTCTATTGTGCAAGTACCTTCTTAACCCCCTTGCAAAATCTCTTAGAAACTTAGTGAGGGAGACTGGCTTCATTCCACTTGAGACAAAATTAAAGACTTAAGGAAGTATATTTATGCTTTTTCTTAGATCCCACCCACTATCTTAGAAGCAAAATTAGACAATCAGCCATGAAGACCAGGTACAGACAAAGCTTTTTCTTCAACTGTAAGCATGTGGAGCTTTAATTCTCCTTGTATTTCTCAAAGCATTTCATGCATCCAGAAGCCCACCATAACATGGCTGCTGTAGAAGCAGTGCATCCCAAGCCTCCTACCTGAAAGTGGTGCAGCGCTGGGCTCTGGACGGGCCCGGCAGCCGGAACACCTGGGCATCGTAGCCATCGTAATCCACCTGGATAGGCAGGGCATTCTCAGCATCCTTGGGAGCTCCTAATGCTGAAATTAAAGTCACACAGCACTGGAACCTCTTTCAAGAATGTTCAAGATCTGCAAGTCAGAGCGTCCAGCTCTCACCTCTAAGAAAAGCAGCTATTCCAAAAGAAATCCCATGCAAAAGTCTCATGAGCAGAACCAGCTGGAGTAGCTCAATTATCAAAGTTGGTGTTGGAATGAGGGTTGCTGGGGCCCTAATGTCTTTCCCCCATATACCCTAAACATTAAATTAATAATCAACAAATCAGTCCTTGTATGAACAGATGCCTTGATTTCTCTCATGAAGGAACTGCACGTTTTAAAGCATCTTTGAAAGAATGGACAACTTCACTTACAGAAGGTCCACCTTCCTCAAACGAGGTGCTGTTAGAAGGGTGCTGGCTTCTCCCACTGTAATTCTGTGCTCACAGCACTGACAACACCCCAAGCCAGTGAAGGCCCCTCTGTCCCACCCCCGTGAACAGCATCACCACTGCACCAGCCTGACACCATGTCCTCCTCTGTCCAGGTGGCACAGCCAGGACAGAAACATCCCCCTCCATGTTAGTTATCTGCCAAGAAGCCAATGGACACGTGCACATTAACATCCCCAGGAACAAATATGTGGGTTTGATGGTTTTCTGGCACAACTATCCCTTCCTTTTGCTGAAGTGTCATTGTCTTACTGCAGCTGTTTGTTAGGCTGGGAGTCAGTGGGGTAGATCCTTCCAGAACAGAATTACTCACAGGCATCTCGATTATTTTTTGCTTTCTCAGTCAGCGGCTGGAAGGTCCAACAAAGGAAGTGTGAAGTGAAAAAAAAAAAAAAAAAAAAAAAAAAAAAAAAAGGAGAGAAGGGAAACAGTCAGCATGTTCTAAGGTAATATCCCCCACTGTGATCAAGCAGACTTAAAGTTTA